TTACATCCCACTGACCCTGGGGCTTCGCCTGCGTTGCATACGGCAAGGTCCCCTCCATACCACCACACTGCTCGCACGTCACGCACGTCCCCCTGTGTCCTGCCTGCTGCAGGAGATGGGGACTGGCTAGGAACGACACCTGGGGGCACTTGGCGGGGGGATGGTGTAGCCCCCTGGACAGGTCCACTAGCCACCTGCGTTTGCCTCTCTGTTGAAACCCTGAATCCCTGCAGGCTGGGAGTAAAGCAGGATGGCTTGAACAGCCCATGCTCAGTTTTTTAGTCCTGGTTGTCTAACCCTCTCCTCAGTCTCCATCCCACAGGAAAGTCTCATGAGGCAGGTTTCTGGGTGGAAGGGCTTGGTTCTGACAGTTCCTTTTTGCTGCTTTTTCTTCTAGAATTTAGAGTGGGGGAGTTTCTAGGAATCCCTGCAGGCTGGGAGTAAAGCAGGATGGCTTGAACAGCCCATGCTCAGTTTTTTAGTCCTGGTTGTCTAACCCTCTCCTCAGTCTCCATCCCACAGGAAAGTCTCATGAGGCAGGTTTCTGGGTGGAAGGGCTTGGTTCTGACAGTTCCTTTTTGCTGCTTTTTCTTCTAGAATTTAGAGTGGGGGAGTTTCTAGGAGTGCAAAATGAGGGTTCTCCACTGATGACTCCTTGCCTTCAAGCCATGGCCCAGGCAGCTTGTGAGCGCAGCCGGGACGTGCTCTGCATTGTGCGAGCAGCTGCAATGGGCTCCTCTCAGACCAGCTCCCGGCTTCCTCCCCGGACACACACAGTGCTGTCTTTGTGCCCGCCGGGAGGCCGAGGACGAGCCCCCGGGCAAGACAGGGGCTGTGGTCCTCCTTGCTAGTTGAGTGTGGAACAGACGTCCGTGTGTCCTCCCCAGAGCACGGGCAGCAGTGGTCGCCACCCAGCATGCAGCGGTGTGCCCCAGTTCTCCAGCCTTCCGGGCATGACTTCTGCAAGCAGATTTATTAGCCTTCCATTTGCCCATTGACCTGCCAGCCTCCAGATTGGCCGTGGTGGTGACAGCAGCCCCGAGGATGCACTTTAGAGGGGTTGTCGGAGACGGGGGTATGTACTGGGTGTGCTTGCAAGCCCCGTGCTGCCAGGTCCCACTCCAGGGCTGTGACCCAGCAGTGGCTTATCGTACTCAGGCCTGTGGCCCATAGGAGTCTTGGCTGTTCCCCCTGCTCAAAACTGAGCGTGGGGGAGCTGCACACGCCCGTGCAATTGTGGGGCAGCATCCTGTAATGCCTGCAGGGAGCAGTAAATCCATCAGCAAGTGCTGAGGTTGTTCCCGCTCTGCTTCTGCAGCCCAGCTGTGACTCTGAACGCTATTCGGATGAGATCCTGGGATTGAGTTGTTGAAAGCCTTATTAGATGCCCCCCAGGTATTCACTCATCTGTTAAACTCCCTCACATCCAAACTGCTGCACTTGGACTTGCCACATTGCTCAGTGCCAGTTCTGAGTCTTTGTTTTCAGTTCAGAGAATGATATGAAAAGCATTTTTTGCAGCTATTTCTATTTTTGTTTGACTCAATCCTGAAACGGTTAAAAGAGTGGTGACATGAAGCTCTTGTGCTGGGTTTTGGAGGTGCAGCCCTTTCCAGACAGGGAGAAGAGAGTGGTTAAAGCTGTGTCTGACTGTGGAAATTACATG